GTGGTTTGCATACATGGAAGTTCAGCGTCAGGGATGTACAGTCCCAGGGGTCTGAACTAACGTGCAGAGTCTCCTGTCCACCGCTCCAGTACTTTAGGGAGCATCTCCTCATCCTGAGTCCCCTGTACGTCCCCTTTGGAGCCAGCCCCTCCACTCCATTGGCCTCTGGCAACCACTGATCTCTTCTCCATCCCTATGACTTGGTTTTTTAGAATGTCCTATGAACAGATCAAAACTGTGTAGCCTTTCGGGCCCGGCTTTTCCACTTAGCAAATGCACCTGAGATCATCGTGTTCCTGCTGTGGGGTCAGTAGCACGTTCCTTTAATCAGCGAGTTGTATTCCGTCTCATGGATGCACCGCAGTTTATCCATCCCTGCTTATAGTCATCTCAGTTGCTTAGAGTTTAGTAATCGGGAATACAGCAGTGAATGTTGCAGGCAGGTTTATGTGGATGTAGTTCTCAAGTCAGCTGGGTAAATATCTATAAGTGCTGTTGTATCATACGGTAGGTATACATTTAGCTTTGTAAGAAACCACCAAAATTTCTTCCAAAATGGCTGTATAATTTACATTCCCGCCAGCAGTGGATGAGATTCTCTTGCTCCACTGCCTCCTAGGCCCCACCTTCCCCAGGCCCACCTTCCCGGGCCCTACCCCCTACCTCCAGAGTCTGTACAAGATACAGTGCACCCCAGCAGCTGTTGCCTGGCCTTGCCTCAGCACCTCTGCCTTGCACCGCCAGGCAGCTGGTTCTCTGCCCCTGTGGCCCCAACCCTCACTTGTCCCCTTGCTGTTCACTGGGCCAGCTCCCTGTCTCCCTGTAGGTCTGGGTTTCACTGTGAACACACAAGAATCCCCTCCTCATGCCCTGGTACATCCATACCCAGGACCATGCTGGTCATGGGGAAACTTTTCACCATGCAGCATTATTTTGTTTGCTGCTGTTATTCTCCTTGGGAGCTACCTTAGTCTTGGCGCACGTACCTCAGCTCCTGGCTCAGACATGGTGCTGGCTGTTCCCTGGTGTCAAAAAAGCCCTCAATGGTGGTGTCGCTACCTCCTCTGGGACTCTGCCTCTCCCTGGGACCTCCCTATCTTCCTTGGGGACACTGTCCTCCCAGAGGTCTTACTTGATGCCATAATACTTCCTGAACATGACATGGTTTCTTAATGTGTGGCTCACGTGTACGTCTAGGGCATTCAGGTTTATTTCTGGGTGAGAGCACCTTGCCCTGCTCCCTTTTCGTAGGGCTGGGCAAGAGGAGGAACCAGCCTCCTCAACTACACCACCTGCCTCACGTCTGAGGATTTAATATTGACACCTCCACTTTACTACTTAACTCACTGCTGACCTCCCTGCTTCACCTGACCCAGATGACCATTGCTAACACAGCTCTATTGGAGATATTTAGATCATATATGTGGGGAGAGCACAGTTGCCCCCTAATACCCAGGAAACCTGGTGAAAAACAGCTTAGCCTCTCTCCTATCTTTGGGAGAGCTCAGATGATGGTATGTTGGTTGTGTTAGAAAAGAATGCACCTTTTAAGAAAATGTTGGATTTAAACTTCTTCAGATTCCAGAGCATCTGGTTATACTACATATATGATTATAAAATCTGGTGTCTTCTCTTCTCCTTCTCCCTATATCTTTCTTCTTCAAACTCCTGAAACCTGACATTTTAATTATAAAAATGATTTAAGCTGGTAGTAGAGATTGTAGAAGAAGGTTCATCCACTTACAAAATAGCCCCTGTACGGTTTTGCTCAGGAGCTGCTTGTGTACTTCATGCTGCTTTTGAGTCGATTGTGAAGGTATTATTGCTGTGAACATCTCGATTGTGTGCCAGGAAATATTACATTTAATGGTAACTTGGATGCAAAGAGCTAGAAATAGCTAGAAAAAGCTCTGTATAGGCAACTCCCTATTGATCCATAAACTGGACATACCCAATTACAAAGAGAGCATAGGAATGAGTGAGGCACATTGAGAACTGTAATAAGACCATGACTCAAATGGAAAATGAAGCAATTCAATGGAACAGACATTTCTCTTAACTTCCACTAGTTACTCTAAGTTCAGCAATTATTTAGAATTCATGATCTACTCAAATAATTATAATAGTATCATTAAGTGACTGTAGATCTTACTGCACTACATTCTAGTGACACTTTTTCCTATGATTTAATATTAAATGTGTAACATGCGACGCATGCAATTTCAATACACAAAATGATAGCATGTTACTATCTTACCTTCAATAGTTCAGGAGGACCTGTGCTTTCTAGATCTTTATTTCCCTTACATCATCCAGCAGCCTTCAGGACTTGGATTTGACTTGAAAGCATAGCATACTTTCCAAGTGTTTCTTCCCCGGGCCAGGGCACCATACTTCCGAAGTCCATGTTGTCCTGGTAATATCCCATCTGTCAGACTCAGCACACACCTTCAGCAAAATTAACCAGATGTTACAGAGCTTCCTGTGTTCCTATCAAGACCTCCTTTACCAAGCTGCCATACACCCCCCAAGCAGGGACCCCTAAAGCTGCACATGTTCTCCAGCAGAACCACCAAACCCAGACATGACACCACCACCCTTGATGTCAAAGCCAACCCATCAGTTTTCTCAAGGAGGGTGGGACAAGACCTGATTATTACCCTTCCCTGAGAACTCATGAGAACTGGTTGGGATCTTGTCTCTCAGATCCCTGGAAACTTAACACCTCCCTAATCTGACCCCAATCTCTTGCCAATACTGCAAACCCTTCCACTATCTTCAGCAAAAACCTCTGTATTCTCAACTTATCCAAATTTTCCCTACATTTTCTGTGTATTTATGTCAGCTAATTTCTCTTTTGTCTCCTTCCATTCCCCTACTACTACCCTAGGTATGCTGACCACTTAGGGCATGAGTTTCAGAACATGCAAAACTGATGGAATTAGAAAAGGAATGGACCCTGCCCCTGACAGTTTCAAGAGGTAATGAAGACTTTGGGGCAATGACTACATGAGGTTTTGACTACACTGGCTATAGTTGCTAGGTTAGGTAAAAAATTATTGTTAAAGAGCAAATATAAGAAATAGGGCATATTATGGTATTATGGTATTATATTATAAGTAGCCAAAGTAGTAGACTATAGTAAACAGCTTTTTATCCTTATTTTCTATGTTTCTTTGTTTTTTTTGAGACAGTCTTGCTCTGTTGCCTGGGCTAGAGTGCTGTGGTGTCAGCCTAGCTCACAGCAACCTCTAACTCCTGGGCTTAAGTGATCCTCCTGCCTCAGCCTCCCAAGTAGCTGGGACTACAGGCATGCGCCACCATGCCCGGCTAATTTTTTCTATATATATCCCTGTTCTGCTACACTCTTACGGGTTTGAATGAATGGGAACCTTTATCCCTGATAAATTCTGATTATATAATGCATCTTAGCAATCGAAACTCCATTTATGACCACAGTATGTCGCCATCGGCACTTCACTACAGTCTTGTGAATGTTCCACTGGGATGCCGCATCCCCGTCAAACTGCCCCAGCTCATGGCTTCTGGGCAGCCCAGAAAAGGGGCCCTTTGTTCTGAAAAGCGTGGTCAATGATTGTGAACCAGGCCCTGGATGTTTGTGACAGCATGCTTGAGTCACATTTTTTTGTGACCTTTAAGTTAAGGTCCCAGATCCTTAATTTTTAAAGAGCACGACACCCCAGGAAGGACACCCACTCCTGGTTAGTATGGGAACATCGCCCTAGGAATATCACGCTGGGAATACTGTGCTGTGGTGCCAGAATATAGCAAAGCACAACGGAATAAATCCGTTTGCTAGAAAAAAGGAGAAAAGAGGGTTTTGTTTGTTTTGTGCTGATTGCTGTTCAGTTTAATTTTATCTGAAGAAACTGACAGTGGAACCCGGAGGCCCCTATGCAATTATCTGCCAAGTAAGCAGTGAGTCCCTTCAGGCTCCTCAGCTTTTACATTGCTTGAGTAAAGTCCACATACAAGAAATGCAAATTTCTTGTTTTTATTATTTGATTTAAATTCATTTAATTTTTTCTTTTACAGAACGGGATTCGAGAAATCAAATTTCTCAGGTGGTAACTGTTTGATGAGTTTTTATTTATATCATTCTGATTGATTTTTTTTTTTTTTTTTTTTTTTTTTTGAGACAGAGTCTCAGCTTGTTTGCTCGGCTAGAGTGAGTGCCGTGGAGTCACCTAGCTCACAGCCAACCTCAACTCCTGGCTCAAGCCGCATCTTCTGCTACAGCCCCGGAGTATCTGGGATGACAGCAGCGCCACTATGCCCGCTAATTTTTTTTTTCATATATATTATACAGTGGCCCAATAATGTTCTTTCTGCTTATAGTAGAAGACGGGGTCCCCTCGCTCTGCTCAGGCTGGTTTTGAACCCTGACCTC